ATCTTATTGGCCAGAAAGACTCTTGCTTTTACCAACATGAGTTACACACACACACACACAGTCAAACAAAGGTACAACATACTACACGACTCCAGTCCAAAGATGACATCTGTGTTACTTGAAATGTTTCCTTGTCACTGATTTAATGCATGTTTACATGGGAATCAAAAAAAAAAAAAAAAAAGCTAGGTCCCTGGAAAGTGGAGAAATGGCACAAAATAAATAAAAAGGAAAAAGCAAATTCAAAAAGTCAAAAGAAAAAAAGAAACAGAAAAGCAAACAAAAATATGGCTCTACTCACATATAATGGAGCTTGCTGTGGATTAAGTTTCATGACCCAGAACACTAGAATGGAAAAGAAAGAGAGGTTAAAAATACTGTCTTTATCCTTCAAATATTAACACTTCTTTTGTTTGCAACAGAATCTAAACCTGCCAGTCCATACAAGCTCCCTACAATGGATGAACCTTTTTCCAATGGGCAGTTTCATGCTAAATTTCCTTATGATTTCAGACATAACTAATACAAGGAGTAGACGCTTCCATCTTTGCAGACGATGAGCACACCCCCCCACCATCAATGCGACTACTGGCAAAGCTCTTTAGGTTCTCTCTGCCCAGAGTACGGATGGCACGAGACTCAAGCCAATGTTTTTTGTCCTTCAGTTTTACAAGCAATGCATTTTCTTACAAGCTGGAAGTGAAGGACAAAGTGAAAACCACATCTTCTGAGAAGAGCTATTTTGTGGAACACTTAATAGGACTTTTGGAAAAGAGCGTTGCAATTTTAAAGCAGGCAGGGCATGATGCTGTGACTAGGTTATAGAGGCTGGTAGAATAAGGAGATGCATTAGTCCCTTCACTGCCATGTAGAGCTGTTTTGCAGCTTAATCTCAACAACTAAACCCAGGTATCTTTTAAACAGTTTTGAGGTTAAAACATACAAAGAGGTTTCCCTTTAAGGAAGAGGGGAGATACCAGGTATCCTTTAGGGCAAAAAACCTAGGGACTGCGAAGGTCAGTATAATTCTTGCAGCGAGGCTTAATTTGTAAAAGACAAAATCAAAATAAGTCAAGACAAACCTCAGGGTGGGGATGGGCATGGGCTGAATCCAGTGGAACCTCTCAATGACAACTTCCTCCCCTGACCTTTTTAAAATGAGATTTCTCTCTCAGCATCTGAAGTTCCCAGGGAAGCATTTCAGGTTCCCAAGAATCTGCAGTCACCCTGGTTACTTCACTATTTGACTGTTGTGGTTTGAAGGCGAATGGCATCTACGTGCAATCAGAATCGCACACACGGCAAACGCGTCTGCGCTCCAGCTGTCAGCTTTGCATAGACAGAGCCATTAAGAATCCATACTCGCTGCCTGTTGCATGTTACCATGTGTATCCTTCCTGTTTGCTCGCCCTTCATCTCCTGCTACCAT